GTTAACAGCCTCACACTCCGGTGAAGCATTCCTGCACCATCATCTCCCAGCGGCAATGACGGGCGGCTCCAAGACCGATCAGGCCCTCGCTCCACTACTCACCACATGCACAAAAGACAAAAAATATGGTGATGTATCTTCGCATGATCGAGGCAAAAATTCATTCTCATTTTGCTAATTTGGTGAGTAGTGGAGCGAGGCCCTCGGCCCTAAACCCTAAACCCTAAATGCTAAACCCTAAACCCTAAACAAAAAAAAAAAAGCAACCAAAAAAAAAAAAAAGGGTTGACGGCCTTGCGGAATCGTCATGAAAAGGGGTGATTTTCTTGTTCTGGTTTTTATTCCTGGAAGGGCTACAGCCTTGAGATGACAGCATCATTTGAACGGATGGGCCCTACCATCTTCACCCGAATGGAAAGCCCGGTCATGATAGCCGTATTTGAGGCAACTTTCAGTCCAGGTGCAGCCATAATGACCCGGTGTTCTATTTGGGTGAAAAAGGTGGGCAACTCAGAATTGCAGTGTTTTACTCATCTGCTTTCATTGGATTTCGAACTCGGGTCTGTATGTACAGAGTGGTTTTATTCCACTTGAATTTAGGTCTTTTTTTTCTTTTTTTTTAATTTATTTATTTTAATTCGGACCATTTCTCTATTTATGCTTGTCATCCTTGCGAAATACCGTGATGACCAGTGGGGACATCCGGCTTACATCATCATCACCAGCATCATCATGGTCATCATGGTCATCATGGTCATCAACAACATCATCAACAACATCATCAACAACATCATCAACAACAGCAACAAAGAAATTTTTACCATGATGACCATGATGACCATGATGACCATTGATGACCATGATGATGCTTGTACAAAGATGTCAGCCTTGACAGGCAAACTTGATATTCTCAGAGATGAGAAGCATTTCATAGTCGCCCTTCGTCTGCTAGTTAAGAGTTTTTGGTAGGATATTATTGATGACATCCGGCTTACATCATCATCACCAGCATCATCATGGTCATCAACAACATCATCAACAACATCATCAACAACATCATCAACAACAGCAACAAAGAAATTTTAACCATGATGACCATGATGACCATGATGACCATGATGACCATGATGATGCTTGTACAAAGATGTCAGCCTTGACAGGCAAACTTGATATTCTCAGAGATGAGAAGCATTTCATAGTTGCCCTTCGTCTGTTGGTTAAGAGTTTTTGGTAGGATATTATTGATGACATCCGGCTTACATCATCATCACCAGCATCATCATGGTCATCATCGTCATCATGGTCATCATGGTCATCATGAATCATCATCACTATCATCTTTGTTGTTGTTGTTCTTTTTTTTTTTTTTTTTTTTTTTTTTTTTTTTTTTTTTTTTTTTTTTGAAAGTGTTGTTGTTTTTGTCATGAGCCTCGACATCCTGACGAACAACC